ATCAACTGAACTGGGCCAGGAGGTGCCCAGATGTTTGGTCAAACATTATTCTGGGTCTTTCTGTGAGGGTGTTTTTGGATAAGATTAACATTTAAATCAGTAGACTGAAAAAAGCCATGGCTAATATGGGTAGACCTCATCCAGTTAGTTGAAGGCCTGAATAGAACAAAAGGCTGACCCTCGTCCAAGTGTGAGGGAATTTCTTCCACCTGACTGTCTTTGAACTGGGACATTGGCTTTTTTCCCGCCTCTGGACTTGGACTGCAACTACACCACAGTTCTACACGGAGCCCTTCCAGAGCTCCAGCTTGCCAACTCGCGCTGCAGTTGTTGGGACTTGTCAGTCTCTGTAATTGCATGAGCCATTTCCTTACTCTTCACACACACACACACACACACACACACACACACACACCCTATTGATTCTGCTTTTCTGGAGAACACTGACCAATATAATTTGTTTGTCTTTTTGTTGTTGAGTTGTAGGTGTTCTTTACATATTCAGGATACTAAATACCTACCAGATATAGGATTTGTAAATATTTGGTCCCTTTGAGAAGACAAATTACCAGAGAAGCAACAAGCATGGAGTGGAGGGGTGCGAAGGAAGCACAGAGCATGGAGTAGGAGCCCCCAAAGCTGCAGCTGCATGGGAACAGGCTTGGCTGGTTTCTTTATTGTGGAGTCTGATTTGGCCTGGCACTTAGTAGGTGTTCAATAAGAGTCATTGTAAGTAAAGATGAGCAACCAAATGTGGGCACTGGGTGGGACTGAAGAAGGCTCAGGGGCAGCCTCATTTAAGCTGAGGCCCAAGGCCTGTGTAGCAATGAGCCAGACAGGGAAGGAAGGAACAGCAGTCCTGGCTGGTGGAAGAGCCTGTGCGAGGGCCCAGAGGGGAAAAGGGGCATGGCAGTTTTGAGGAATGGAACATTCTATCTAGTTGGAGCAGAGAACGCAGGGAATGAATGTAGGGTTGGGGGCTAAGTGGGAGTGATGAGAGGGGAGAGCACAGCAGAGTAGCAAGAAAGGAGAAAGGTGAAGTTGGAAGGGGTGGGACAAAAAAGGCGTTGTAGGCTGTTAAGGAGTTTGGAGCCCTGTGAGGAAGAGAGAGGAAGAACAGAGCAGTGAAGGGAAATAAGCGAGCGGCAGCCATCAGAGACCCAGAGATGCTTTTGGACACCCTGCAGAGCATGCAGGGGAAGCAGCAGGAGATGGACGTGGTGCCAGCCCCGACGGCAGGCTCCTTGTTGTTTAAATTCTGGCTCTGCCCCCACTGGGCAAAGAACGGGGCTAAGCAAGTAGCTTCTGGAACCTCAGCAAGGCTACTTGAGCTGCGTCTCCTCATCTGTACAGTAGGGACAGTGAGGGTCCTCCCGGCTCGGGTGGCACAACCGCAGCAGCCTGTCCCGAGCCCTCACAGAGACAGCAAAGGACGTACCTTCCTCTGCCACTTCCAGGTAACGGCTTCCCTGGGAAGGTGCAGGGAGAGTAGGGAGGGAGGGAGGCCAGGCAAGGGCTTCTTGCGGCATGGTTTGGGGTCCAGGCCGGCTACCCTGGCCCTCCTCTGGCTGGACCGAGGATGGTGCAGCCGGGTGCCAAGTGGGCACAGAGCACCAGGCTCCGTCCCAAGCACTGGACCGTCACTTGTAAACAGCCTTCTGATCCCTAGATAAACCCGAACATCAGCCTCACCCAGCTTGAATCGTCCTAGACTGCTTGTCTCTAGAGTGGCAGCGGGGCCTCGGCGGCGGGGAAACCTGCGGGCAGGCAGAGCTGGGAAGAGGCTGACTGCTCTGGGAAGCGTCCCGGCAGCTACCAGACGCTTCGATGAGGTCATCCTTCTAAAGTGCTTAGCCGTGTTGCGTACAAGTAGGGACTCAGAAATTTTCTGTCAAATGAGTGAATAAATGTTTGCTGCGTGGTTTGGGCAAGTTACCCAACCTCTCGGAACCTTAGTTTTGTTCACGTGTAAAGCAGAGAGACTGTCTCTTCCTTGGACGGTTATGGTGTGGATTAAGAGATGGTGTCTTCCTCTTATATACTCCTGGAAAGCGCTGGAACACATTCTACTAAGCAAGGTATCCCAAGAATGGAAAAACAAGCACCACATGTACTCAC